TTTCCTCCCTAAAAATATAGATGAGACACAGGAAGGAGTGTGCAGTGTGAAGTGGCCGGTTCATAGTAACTACTATATTTTACACAATATGGGCTACATCTAGTTTGCATGAACTTGGGTCTACATAATTAGAAAATAGAATATCCAGTATCCAGGGATATGGAAGCATTGCTTCATCTTATGGAATCAATCCTCCCATTTCCTCCCTAAAAATATAGATGAGACACAGGAAGGAGTGTGCAGTGTGAAGTGGCCGGTTCATAGTAACTACTATATTTTACACAATATGGGCTACATCTAGTTTGCATGAACTTGGGTCTACATAGTTAGAAAATAGAATATCCATGACAATCTCCAAACAGGACTGTCAGCAGAGGGAAAAAACAAAAAAGAAAAAAAAAATGAACGCATGTTCTTGTAGACACCCCCGGCGGGACTCGAACCCGCAGCCTTTAGATTAGAAGTCTAACGCCCTACCATTGGGCTACGGGGGCCTTATTAATAGAATGGAGCTAAAACTTTGTGCGTTTTCCAGACTTTGGTTAGGTTGGCGGCCCTAAGTAGCACCGAAAAGGACACACTTAACATTCACGATTCAAGGTCCCGATTCTACAGAAGCGACAAATTGATTGAATAATTCTTTTTTATCAAAGGTAACTATTCATCTGTTCTTTTCTGGCAAGTGAGCCAACTAACTATTAGCTAGCGCGGACTCGCCCACAAGCCACCAGGCAAACTTGCACATTCATAAGGCTGACGAGGCGAAAGGAAGCCTCTTTCACCATATATTTAATAACCAACTATCTATCAGTATGAAAAAAAGAAAAAAGAACGACCCTGCCATCTCATGCAGCTTCAGGCCCGATCATCTACACCGCAAGTCTCGGGAAAAGATGGACATACACCCACAGAAGAGGCATGTTTCGAAATTCAAAGATGGCGTTACCCTCACCTCACCTCAGCCTCATAAACGCATGTCCAGGCCGCAGTTTTCATGGATGATGAATCGCAGCCTTCTCATAAACTAAATAAAATATAGAGCTGATCACTCGCAGGGACGCTAACCAGTTCTATTGGAATCCTTAACAGAAACTTGGAACTCTATCCCTACCATAATAGTTGCCAGGGAACTGTCATCAACTTTGAACATTAACGATATGTAGTAGTTAATAACTGATTATTCATTGCATACGCTCGTCCGGTTCTCTTCGGACAATCCCGTAACATAACAATAACCCCAAGTCCTGTATCTACCACTGGCATGTATCTCGATTCCCTGCATCCAACAAACACCCATCCACCCCCCAAAACAGTCGCAGGATTATAAAAAAAATAAGCAAATAAAAGGCAACCGGAAACATTTCCATCCAGCCTGTACCTTACTTATCCTATCCTTTAATTTCCAGCAAGGGGTTAGTTAGGGAGGGAACGGAGGGAACAGAGCGTGCATGTTCAACCCGTGCACATTCAATGAGAAATTCCGATTCGTTCATAATCAGGCCGTTTGGAATTGATTTTTTTGTTTTTTTCGCGGGCGCCCACGGGCCACGGCGCGCAACCAGCGGGAATGCAATGCAAGAAAAAAATAAAATAAAATAAAAAAGAAGTGTGAAGTGAAGCTAGATCCCCCCCGTCGCCCCCTTTTTTTCCATCTCCCAAGGGTTGCATAAAGGCAAACAAAGGGTTTCAGCCCGTGGTTTTGTTAATGAAGTGTAACGTTTTTTTGGTGACTATTGTGCTCCTACTTGGGGAGGTGCTTTTGCTACCGAGCGTGATAAAGGTGATATATGTATGTTTTTCGTGCGGTACAGATCTAATTAGAGGGGCGAGTGATAGATAACATAGATTCACCACCGTTGCGAAGGGCGATCCGATCCTCTGGCGGGATCCAATGGATTCTAGATTTACAAGGTGAGATAGAAAAAAGGAAAGTGAGAAAGGAGCTGGCTGCATGGTGTGCCGCATGTTGCCTTTTCAATTTTCTGGTTCTTCTTATTCATTTAACACTTGTTTATTTTCTGGATTTGAGAAACTCGACAAAAACGAGGCAAATCGGAGATGGAATTAAACTCTCTTGCCTTGCGACTGGATATTGTATGCAATTCGGGATTGTCGCCCTTGTAACCATTGACCGTCTACCGACATAACTACTACACAACCTAGCCCTAGCCCATTCAATAAATAAGCAAGGAGGCTAGAATCGGGTACTCCGTCGGTCCCGTTCGATTGTTGTTCTCTGTCCAGGCGCGCCGTGGCGTCAGCCTGACCGCGAAGTCTTGCATATTCGTCGTGTTCGCTAATGTCTACGAAGGGCGGGAGTCATGCATGAAGAAAAAGAGGCTGGAAATATTTATTCGGGCTGATGGTCTGACAGGTTGAACATTTTGCAATTTTCAATGCTTGTCCGGAGCCTCATACACCGAAGAAGCATAACTACAGACCCGCATGGCATGTCGTCCTGTGGGATGCAAGGAAGAGCTGGTCAGATAAGAGTCATTTCTCCGGCCCTACCAGGCCCTGGCAATAGATGTTGTTATTATTCGAGGTAGGCTAATAAGAATAAAATAATCCGTTGAGCCTTTTTTAGATGGATGTCCGGATCCAGGCCTGTCTGGGCTGTGTGCCGAATTGTCCGCCCCCCAGCTGGGTGCCTGCGCCTTTCTAGATGTCTCTTCGGCAAGCCATCCTCATTCATTTCGCCGTGTGGTTTCATTTTGGCCACCGCCCTGTTTCGATCTGGGCGGGGTTTAACCTGAAAGTTGGGGTAACGGGGATTGGAACATGGCTGGGTCATTATGTGACGGGGATGGATATAATGGTTGTTGATCGCTCAAACATAGAGATAAAACAATGTATTTATATAAAACTCAGCCGTTGCAGTGCCGCGGAATGTTAGTAAGGAGGGGCGGAGAAGAAAGCGGTTGACAAGGGAAGGATTATGCATTCCAGGGTTATTCCTGGGTCGACACCGCTTTCTTCTTTCTTGGGCCATATCAGTCTCAGGCGTCAACATGTCGCCTGTCAGGCAGGAAAAAAAGGTTTGCAAAGGGTGGGATTCTTTGAGCCAACGGAAATCCGCGGACGTGGGGGGAAACCTGGTCCGGTTTTGAAGCGAGAATGAGATTTCAGGTCGAAACAGAGCGGACGGGCTGAGCGGGTAGGGATAGCAGTAAAAGGATAAGAGGGGATTTTTATTATTAGCATTTTCCCGTGGTAGTATTCCGCGCGGTTTGAAGTTTCCAAGTATCTCCCAGACTGGTGGAATTGCATTGTTAGCATCATCATAACTTGAAGTTGTGACAACGGACACTCCACCCGCCGGGCACCCAGACAGGAACCCAAAGGCCGCACCCAAACAAGCGGGAAATGGAGGTTTCACCGTCAGAGTTCTCGGTTTGCCTGGCTATCATGTGGCCTCCCTGTAACTTGTAGCTCGTCCCGGCTGCAAGTCGCAAACCCGTGCACAATCCCAGAACAGAAAAAGAAAAGAGCAGCAGGAAAAACAAATTAAAAAGGTTAACTTTGGGACGAGGCTTGGTCAACGGTTGTGTCAGGATGGATCGCTGGCGAGTGCCGGTCCTTTGTAGTTACATATTCTTCACCTCTGATTGTGGTCGATGCGAGAAGTAGTTAGCCAGGCGGCGGATGGCGGCCAGTGACCAGCAAAGCCCTAATTCAATTTCCAATTCCAATTCCAATATCAACAGCAATTCAATTCAATTCAATCCAATTCGAATTCCAATCCCCAGCAGATCGGGAGCCAGCAAACTATGGGTCCGCCCCTCAACCCCCGGGCGCCCAGGACCCAGGACCCAGGAGTCCAGGACCCAGCGATAGCGTGTTTCTTAGTGAAGGGAAGAAATATTCCCCCCTGCGCAACTATATAAAGCCAGACTCCCCCCGTTCCGCCCTTCCACCCTGCTCGCTCCCCATTGCCAACCCTTCCTTTGCCTCTGGACCCGGCCTTCTCTTCCTTTTTTCTTTCTTGCCTACTAGCTAGCTACTGCTCCAGCTGCCGCTGCTGCAAGTTCTTTAAACTACATACAGCCTTTCCTTAATCCTTGCCCGCCCCGAGCTGCGCCCTCGTCCTGCCCTAGCTGGCCCACGCTATTCTACATACAAATACTTCCATACTAATATCAACACCCTCTTCCGCCCACGCTCCCGTTCTGCGCATCCCCTTTGCTTCCTGAGCTAGAGCAATCTCGGCCCTTACGACCTCCCACCGCCTCCAAACCCAATTTTCCATTCAATCTGTACCAGGCGTACTCTCCCACCATGTTCTCTTGCGTCAACTATCCCCGTGGCTGCCGAGGCCGTGTGAACGTCCAAGGAGCGAAATGTTCCACTTGCGTTGTATGTCTTGGATAAAAAAGAACTGGTAGTTTGCCAAAAACTGACTTAATTCCTCCCAGGCATCCGGCCTCCGTCGTCCAGGTTCCTCTTCCCCCTTCGCTCCCATGCGCGGACAGCCAAATTACAGACGCCCCTGGGAGATCGAAAAACCCACCGCTCAAGACGAAGAGAAGAACTAAAGAGGACGGGCCTCGAGAACACGGCAATGAACCACATTCAGAAAAGTAAGAGCCGGGCTCGATGCCCGGCTCTTATACATTCTCCGCCATCCCTGGTTCTCCTTTGTATCGAACATAATCTATATCCCACTCGAATGTCGATAAGACGCAACGCCATAAAAACCACCCACCCCAAAATATCAAGCGAGTCCCGGAGACCTTGAAAAAACAAAAATTATTAAACGGAACAGGGCAACAACAAAAAATTATGCATATGGAACATACAGGAATAAAGAAACACACCCACTACGCAAGCACTTTTGATTTTATTTTCTTTTAACTCAGCACCCTCACCTTCGCTTCTCGCTCGTATTCTCCCAATCCCACCATTACTACCCATCTCGCACGCTTTGATACACTGCTACTCCTTTTCCGGTTTTTGTATTTCTTCTTTACAGACAGTTGCATTCAGGGCAGGCCTTTTGATTTCCTATTCACCAATTATTCCCAGTTGTAGTACTTGTACCTTTTCTTCCCCTCTTTCCCCCTTCATTTATTTCCCTTTGTTACATCTCCCCCCACCACCGCCAATCCTCTCGTTTTCTCCTCCACTCGCGACCGATTTCTATCTGTGTATGCATCATGTTATTTTTTATGGTTTTTCTCGCATCTGGAGGCACTCTGCATTTGATTTTCCTGTCCACGCCTACTTTTACACCAAATCAAATATCCAAGCGACGGCGTTATTAAACTCTTGCTATTTTATTTTGCTTTTTTTTTGATGTAACTGTTTCATTTTAACCCTCGTCCTCTGGTTTCGCGCGTGGTTAAAGTGAAACATACATCGTGTCTCTTCTTCCTGGGTCTGGAACTTTCGAGTATTACAACTCGTTTTCCAATTTTTAATTCACTTGCATATAGTTTTAATTGCTCATTTTTTTTATGAATTGATTGCCTGCTACTGGTTAGTACATCTTAAG